CCCGCCGGAGCCCCCGGATCTGGCTTCCGAGTGCACCCCAGGCTGTCGCAGGGAACCCCGACTTCAGCCTGGGGATTCGGCGGGAAAGCGGACTCCGGGCACGGCCGCGCTGCGCCGGGGTGTTAGGGCTGCAGGACATTGTCCGCCGGGCCTGTAGCCATCGGGGTGCTTGCACCGGGCCCCCAGGAATTAAGGGCGGGCTGGCCCACCCTCCCAGGCTGGGGACGCCCACCTGCCGTTGTCCGGTGGTCACCTCTGGCCCAGGGCTTTTGTGTGCAGGGGCGCGCGTCCCTGGCCGGGGTTCAGGCTCTGGCTTCCAGCATCGGGGGGTGCAGGTAAGGTGCTCGTGGCTCAGTGTGGTCCCCTTAGTGGTACAGGCTATTGTAGAAAAAAAGAAAGTACTGAAGAGCTCAGTGAGAAAACCATCCTCTGACCTATTTGGTCACTTCACAGTATATTTAGTTTTCCAGTTTTGTTTAAAAATTCTTCCTGCCCTATCTCTCTCATCAATTAAAAAAAAGTCTTCTAAATAACATCTCTAATTTTGTATATTCTTTTGATTGGCTCCCTAACCCATCATTATGTATGTCCCCAAAATTACTCAACTATCCCAACTCTGGTAGCAATACTCTGATAAACTTAAAACACACACACACACGCACACACACACACCACCTGTATTTTAGATTATTTACTTGGACTAGATTTTGAGAAGTGAAATTATTGGAATAGGTGCTGCCTTCTACCAAGGTCTTTTTAGGTCTTCACACACATTGCCACATTGTTTAACAAAATAGTTTAGTCGTTTACATCATTCATGTGTAGGACTGCCTGTTGCACCAAAATTATGATAGCTGGTAATACATTTCTAATACACCAACCAGCAAAGGTGAGCCTGTCTTTGGAATTTTTGTTGTTTGTTTTTTGTTTGTTAAATGGTGGTGTCTGGCAAGTCCACTTCCTTAAGTTTTGCGAAGGAATCTTGAGAGGGTATGTTAGTGTGTGTGTGTGTATTGTTGGAGTTGCTGTGCAGGCTGGCTGACTGTTGGGTCACTTAAGTGATCTTCTAGCATAACTGCCTTATTTTGCAGATGAGGAGCCTGAGGCCTTGAGAGGTGAAGTGATGAGTTACCTGAGGCGCACGGCTAATTAAGTAGCAGAGCTGGCATTAGAACTCAGGTGTCCTGCCTCCCAAGTGAGTACTCTTGATGCTGCCTCGCTGGTCTCACTGAACTGGGCACACTCGATACTAGAATTTGAAGAGATGTTTACATCCCCGGATTAATCTTTCCTTTTACAATTGTACCAAGTAACAGAGATTTCGATCCTCCGAGGGATTTGTGACACTGAAAAATGGGAAAGGGTCCATTTTCATGGCCAGGGCTAGAAATCCTTATTTAGAATGACAGCCCCTTCAAGATTTGTTGGCAGTCATTGTTTTCAGATTCTCTAACTGTTGGGATAAAGTATTTCATAAGTTACAGTTTATACTCTGTCATCCCGTTAGAACTTAGCTGTTTGTCCTCATTTGTTCCACCTTGAAGGTGGTTTTTTTCAAAACTTGATGTCGAGACCAGAGAACATTGCTCTTTTTGATTTAGGACTTACAGCAGTTTCTCACCCGCAATTGACATTTTGGGTCAGTTAATTTTTTGTTAGGGAGGGCTTTCTTATCCTTTGTAGACGGGTCAGCAGTATCCTTGGCCTCTACCTACTAGATACCCTCATTCAGGGCAATCCAAAATGCCTCCAGACATTTCCAAATGTCCCTGAGGATGGGGGCAAAATCTCTCCTGGTCAAGAACCATTTGCTTACAGGGATTATTTGGGGAACTTTATGTGAATTCCAATGCCCCTTGCCTAGACAGCCTGACTTTGGGGAGGCTTCTGGAATCTGCATTTTAGCAAGCTTCTCTGTTGATTCAGATGCAGGTGCTTCTTGGACAACAAAGAAACGTTTCTCCTTTCTCCGTATTTTATTTGGTGGTTACTATGTTATAGCTGCTCAGGTACATGAATGATACTGTATTAGTCACTATGCCCATAGTTGGAGACTTAGCGCTGCCCTTAAATGCCCCTTCCACAGGCTTGGGCAGTGTGTTTAGGTACCAGAGACCCCCCAGAAGCTTGGAGCTTGCTGTGGGAGACTGCTCCGCTGGAAAGGAGAGCCGTTCTCAGTGTTGGATGTCCTCTCAGACTGATATATTCTGCTAAAGTATATTTACTTGGGTTGTAATATTATGTTTCATAGCAATATTTTGCTTTTCAATTTTTTTTTCACCCTAAGCTGTAAATATTCTAAGAGTAGGCAAAAATTTCCAGGTGAACATGGCCAAGAAACAAGAATTTACGTGTTTTTTTGCTCAGTGACATGACTCAAAATTACATTAGAGATATTTCTGGTCGTTATAGTCCTTTATGGGCTGATTTACAATAATTTAGGTTCCCTCTCACTGGCTGTGGCCATCACCTGTTTAACAGGAGAACCTTGACATAGTCCAAAGGGCAGTTGTGCCTTTGCAAGGGCTTGGGCTTTGGGATCAAGCCTTGGTTCTGCTTGCTACCTCACCTGGTGACCTTGTGAATTGCTCAGGACTCTAATGCCTGGCACATACCTGGATGAGTAAAATTTGGTTCTTTCCCCCCATTTTTTTTACTAAAGGAAATCTCTGCAGGGCAATTTGCAGATGTTCTCATCTTAGACCTCTCAGAAGCTTCTGCCTTTGAATAGCCATGTGTGAAAATAGGTAATTTAGTTAGAACAAACCAGGGTTGGAGGCATAGAGGGTGATTGTGGCGTTAATTTTTAAGGGAGGAGTTTTATCAAGGTGACCCTGCAGAAAGGAGGCCTTTTTCCTCTTATGTGTCTACTAAAGCCTCAGTGTGTGAAATTGCACGAGACCCAGACCCACCGGACCTGGAGACCCATCAGTGCACCTCCTAGTGACCGGTCATTTGGTCATTACTGCATTACGGCCACTGGCCTTTTATAATACAGATGGTTCAAGCGTCTGTTCTCTTGCTTCAGAAATGGTCAGAACTGTTCCTTCTGCCTTATCCAGTTTCAAAGATGAAAACAAAGTTTCCACGTGAGCCAAGTGATGGGAAAAATTGTGATGTTGAGACCAATTTACTCATACAAAATGGATTTATGGGCAAGTTATTAAGTAAAAGGGAGTATCGAGGAAGCCTAATGAAGACAAATGTAAAAATTATGGACTCTAAAGTGATAGATAAAATGTGTTTGAAGCAACATCCTCTTTCCAAATAACTGTTAAAATATTTTTCAAGAGATCTGCCAGAATATAGATGCTCTGGAGAATAAATGAAAAGCTTGGTATTTGTCTCTCCTTTCATGTGGCTTACAGTCTGTTGAGGGAGAAGAGACTTGTATTAAAAAAAAAAGAAGAAGAATATAAGACAGTAATTGGTGACAGGTTACATCAAATAGAACCAGATGTGAAACTTGATGCCAGAGCACATCTCCACTCCATCTGAACTGGACACTGGTACTCATGCAGGTCTCTGCTTCAATCATCCCGTGTCCCTAGCCACTGACACAGTATTTCCCACACCCACCGGTTCATAGGAGCCTCCTAGGCTTGTGCAAACAGATCCCGGGTTCCTACCCTGGTTCTACTGAAGCGGAATCTCCAAGTGATCCAAAGGCTCATGTTTGGGAAACGGCCCTAGAGGCTCAAGGCCAAGCTCTTAGTCATGCTCCCCAGGAATGTGGCCCTGCTGCCTTCGGAGGCTGCAGCTGGCCCTCCTTGCCTGTGTCGATTTTCTCCTCTCACTGTCCAATGCCTTCGCCAAGCTTTCTGTCCTTCCAGCTGGTGGACTCTTTTCCTTCACACTCCGCTCAGGTGTCACCTCCAGAAGTCCTTCTCTGATCTTTCTGTGTGCTCTTCTCTGCAAAATTCTATCCAACTACATACAACTTTTAAAAATTCTCCTTTTACAAGGGTGTGTGTGTGTGTGTGTGGTCTGCTTCGTAGTATAAATTCCAAGGGTCCAAGGCCATATCTTGTTGGTGTTACATCCCTACCCAGCCAATGTGCCTGCCACTAAGGTGCTGGTGAAAGTTTGAAGTGTTGAATGCCTTTAGACAGAAATTGGTGTTAATTGGAGTAAAGATGAGGCTTAATAGTAATGGCAGAGGTATGATCTTTGATAAGCTTACAAGAATATACAAGGACTTTTATTTATTTATTTATTCATTTATTCATTTTAGTTTTTGTAAATCCTCACCCAAGGATATTTTTTCCATTGATGTTTTAGAAGGAATGGAAGGGAGCGGGAGAAGCAGGGAGAGAGAAACTCTATGTAAGAGAAACACAGTGATAGGTTCCCTCCCACTCGGCTCTGACTGAGCCTACAACTGAGGTATGTGCTCTTGACCATAATTGAACCCGGGACCCTTCACTCCACAGCTTGATCTGAGCCAAACCGGCTAGGGCTATAGCTGAGCTTTTTTTTAGAGGTGAGGGGAGAGAATATTAATAAGATTTTAAAAATTATAACACTATCAGTTAAATAACTAATAGTCTGGGATGAACAAAATGAACTAACAAGCAAAATAGAGACAGTCTCATAGAGCAGGCTAACAGCTATCGAGGGGGTGGGGTTGGGTGTGGGGGGTGGAGGGGATAGAGTTAAAAAGAAAAAACTCATGGACACAGCTTACAGTGTGGTGCTTATGTGTGGGGGGAGGAGGAGGTGTGAGAGGGTATGGGGGATAAATGGTGATGGACTTGGGATGGTGAACACACAATACAGTACAGGTGATGCATTGTAGAATTGTGCCCCTGAAACCAGTATAACTTTGTTAACCAGTATCACCTCAATAAATTCAACAAAAGAAAAAATGCAAAAAAAACTCAAAAACGAACAAAAAACCGGGACACCATCAGTTAAACAACTAATAGTCTAGGTTCGTATTTTTTTTTCAGTTGTTAACTGAACAAGGCAGTTAATACTATCCCTGTGAACTAGATTTTCACTTCATGATGCATGCTACTAGTTTTTTAACACAAAATAGCTAGTTTGATCTCGATCTTATATATGAAGAAACTGGCATAATGGGATTTAGCATCTGATAGGAAATGAACTTAAGACTCATGAGTTGAGTCAATATCAGGCCCTCAGGGTTAATAGTCTCTGGATCTATTCATCCACAAACCGGCACATGTTCAGCACATAAATAAGGCAGTTTATAAATGAATGGGAAGATTTATTTTTACTGAACCCATTAAAGGTATATAATCCGTTACAGTATTTACTTTGTTTTTTATTTTCCTTGTGTTCAAAACTGCATAACATTGTTGTGTGGTCTGAGTCCTGAATGAATAGTGGTTGTCCAGAATAGTAGTTGTGATTTTAGTTCTGTTGAGACTGTGTAGCAAAAAAAATACACTGACAGTTCAGTGGAAAAGTTACATTAAAATTTGCTGAGCAAAATAATCAGTTGATCACATTAAGATTTTTTTCAGGCCTTGGGGAGATGCAGTGGATGAGGAGGTCCCAAATTCAAGAGTAGTTTTTAAAACTTGTATTTTCTGTTATTTAACTTGGGATGTTGACTTCTCTTGGAAAAGAAAATTATTTAACTTAAATTATGAGAACCTTTGAATAGACTTTAAAATATGACTGATTTGAGCTTGAATGTTAGTTTCATCACATTTGGGAGCAAATTATTTCATCTTTCTGTGTGCCTTTATTTTCATTACCAAAATGGGGGTATTAAGACCTTCCCAGGATTCTTGTAAAGATTAAATTTGGTAGTGTGTATAAGGATCTTAGCAGATTGCTCTGCATAAATAACACAAGCATTCAATGAATGGGTATACTGATTTGTATGTGAGGCAGTAGTACAAGTGGTTGAGAACAGGGCCCTTCTACGATGAGGATGTGAGGACTGATGAGATAATGTATGGAAAACGCATCACTTAGTTTCTGGCTCCTAGTAGGTCCTGAAACATGTTAGCTGTTGTGTGGTGGTAGAATAATGTGGAGTTTTCACATGTGCTCCATTGATGCTTGGTGTCTTATAATATGCTAAGGTCTTCAGGCTTTTTTTTTGGTTCAGTAATTAACTTCTGTCCTTGCCTTTATTGCCCCTTTTCAGATTTCTGATCAGGATTGTTACAATGAGTCTACGGAAGCAAACTCCCAGCGACTTCTTAAAGCAAATCATTGGACGACCAGTGGTGGTAAAACTAAATTCTGGAGTGGATTATCGAGGTAATATTTTTCTGCTTCATCCTCACTAGTGTAATTAAATAAGTAAATATGACTTACTGATTTTTAGCAACGTTTTAAACATACCCAGTGAATCTCAAAAATCATTGATTGTCAACAGTTTTTATGCCCACCTCTTTTCTTCCCCTGGATTGATCCCCTTTAGAGACACAGCTGACACCAGGGTGTGTGCTTCTGACTTCCGGTGTGGTTTGTGGCTCCCGTCTCCTGTCTCCTTTGAGAGCCTGTGTGCCTCAGTTCCCTGGTACCCTGGTAGCAGCCGAGGATTCCCAGTCGCCTCAGGCGTGAATAGCTGGCTGGATACTGAAGAACCCTTGGCACAATAGCGTTTGTTTTGCAGAAGTATTGAAGGTTGGCAGCAGCTATTTAGACAGTGTCATTTTACAGCATAAGCTTCCCATTCGCATAATGTGCAGGTTATCCAGAAACACCTTACTGTTCTTTTAGAGAATGTTCTTTTTAAGGCTGCGACAACACTACTAAAATTAATTGCGTGGGTATCAAATTCCTTTTTTTTTTTTAAGTTACTAAATTTCTAGTCTTCCAAAATTAAGAGATGTTAAATTAGCTGGACTAGTTTAATTCGTTAGCAGAGTGTTATGGCCTTTCCTTAGTCTCCTTTTTGAATAATTTTTCATCTCTCTCCTGAATAATGATAGTAATCTCTTGAGCTTTTTTTACACATGCAAACTTAATTTTATTGAGAGCTTACTGTGGGTCCAGTGAGTGCTCAACACTTTAATTTTCATTTTATCTTCATATAAGTCCTTTGAGATCTCTGTTGATTATCCCCACCTGGTAAGAGAGGAGCTAGGACTCAGACTCATGCATGACACAAACACCTTGCTGTTTATATACTGCTTTGGTTTCTTGATATTAATAACATCTCCAATTTAATATGATTTTTTAGTGAAACCAGTGGATTATACTAAATAGTGAGATACTATAAAGTCTCTCTGTACTACTTCTCATCCATGAACTTTTGATGAACCTGAAAGAG